GGTACCGGTCTGTGGCCTGGGGTTGGGGACCCCTGATCTACACAGTTTTATCAGAAGAATGAAATGGGTGACTGCTCAGTCTCTTAATGGTTTGAGTTCTTTTTATATTTAACATGGCTTAACAGGTACAATTAGAAGCTATAAACATATCTTATTCAGATATCTATGTACTTGCACTATAATTTGAATAAAATAATTGTAAATTGTGTTAGGCTTCAGAAAAGTTGCATAATTTAGTTATTTTTTAATATAATCTTTTTTTTAGGAGTATATTCTTAAAGGAGTAGTGAATGCAGTCCTTGGGCAGGAAATGGGTTCAGTGAGTATAACAATTTCTGATAATAGTAATTTATGAAGAATCTATAAGTAGCCAAATAGAACAGAAAGGTTGATTGAGATTTTAACTTGATCCTTGCTCACATAAATTTCCTTTAGTTTTACATGTGCTCCCAGAACAGCACATGTCATACCTCTGCTCCACAAGCTGCATCGGTTGCCATTTTGCTTCTGGGTCCAATTCAAGGTGCTGTTTTTAACCTTTAAAGCCCTTTATGGCATGGGACCAGGTTATCTGAGGGACCGCCTCTCCATGATTACATCAGCTCGTCCCATTAGATCTGTCAGAGAATGCATGCTGCAAGTACCATCTGCCCAGGACTTATATTTGGTGGGTCCCAGGAGGTAGGCCTTCTCTGCTGTGGAGCCCACCTTATGGAACATTCTCCCCCTCAAAGTCAGGTTAGCTCAATCCTTGTTAAAGTTCCAGAAGTCCCTCAAGTCCTGGTTATGTCACCAGGCTTGGGTGTCTCAGGGAACCAATAACATCTTAAGATGGTTCCATTACTGATATATTCACTCTTTCCATGCCTGTGGTTTGTATATTTTATTTTTTAATATTTTTTAATTTTTAATATGATTGTTTTTTATTTTTATAATGATTGTATTTATATATTTGTTTTTACTTGATTGTTGTATGCCACCCAGCATCACTTCTTCTGAGATAGGCGGCTATACAAATTTGATTAATAAATAAAAGAGGCAAAAAGTATAAATTGTCTTTTATATTAATAATGAATTCAGGTGTTGAATTATGGTAACTATTTTAGGTAAACTAGAGCTACTGAGAAACAAAAAGGAAATACAACCATGCTGGGGAAGGCTTATAATTTTCCCAAGATATAAAAAAAATCCTAAGTTTTACACAAAAATTTTAAAAAATAATGATAACTGAACATGCTCACTGACATCAAAACATTTTGGGAGGGGAAAATAAAAAACAAAATGAGGAGCATGATGAAAAATGGAACTAGATATTCATGAAATAGAAAGGGAAAAAATATTGATTGGCACACTAAATGCCGTATTATTTCTATACTATTCTTTTTCAGAGAGACCATTTGAAAATTGCTCAGCAATTTTTCCAGCTAGTGGGAGGATCTGCTAGTGAATGTGGTATGTTTTAAATGTACTCTGTTCTCTTTTCTTCAGACATTAATTGCTTTTGTTAAATATTTACTGTGTGATTCCAATAAAACATTGTGAATATTTTTTCCATTTCTATTGTCACAACTACAAATTGAGTGTAATTGCATCTGTAACTAAAAACAGTCTCATACAGTGGTACCTCGGTTCACGAACACTTCTGTTCACGAACAATTCGGTTCATGAACGGCACCGTTTGCAAAATTTTGCTTCCCTTTGCGAACTCTGCATCGGGTGATGAACCCCGTGGCCATTTTCCCTGCTGTGACACATGGTCATGGCTTCCTGTAGGTGAGATCGCGGTCGCAGACAGACACTGGCTGTGAAGCTTTTTGA